TCTGGTTTCGCAGACTTTTAAATAAAGTCGATTTCCTCGATTTGGGATCTTTAAAAAATAAACCGGTGACTTGGGACACCAAAATAAATATCCCAAGTGGCGACTCTGAAAATAATTAAAATAATTCCATTTCGATTAATGTCACTTAAATTGAAAAAACTCCCTTATATCACCCCTCGGGTGGTAAAAAAGAGGTGTGACATCCTAAAGGCAGCTCGCCTGACTTCGGCGACGCACCACCAACCAAGCAGGGATCAGAGGCGGAACTCCCTTCTCCTTGCCGAACGAATCCTGGCGCAGCAACCATAACTATGGCAAAATCAGAGAATTGGAGCGAAAATCTGAGCAAGGATTCCCAAGTTAAAGTAGTGAAGAACCTAACACAGAGAGAAGAACTCTATACTCAGGATAGCGAAATCCACAAAAAAGAGAAGACAAACCTATATATAGGAGCAAGCAGTGATTGTCCGCCCGCCTCAAAGACCAGTTAAAAATACTGGCTAAGCCATTATCACTTTGGGAAGACGTACTGGCGTGATCGCCTCGGTTGTCTTATAACCATGTCATACAATTTATGCGGTCTAACGGCATTTTGGGGATCAAAACCCCCGCATCAACATGCCTCGAGATGGTACCCGATCTCGAGGACCTCTATCAAAAGGAAGATAGGCTCTAAAGAGCCATTGATATCGCTGCAAGCCTCGAGATGGTACCCGATCTCGAGGACCTCTGTCAAAAAGAAGATAAGTTCTAAAAACCCACTTATATGGGCTTGGCCTCGAGGTGGTACCCTACCTCGAAGATTTCTTCTATTACAAGTACGGTATCCTCCGGCCCCCGAGCTACCTGAGCCGAGCCAAGTTTCGCTCAAAAACTACCAGTAAAAACCTTAGGGCTATTTCCTGCCTTCGGGTCCAGCTAAACGTCCTCTCGGTTACTTTAATCCAGGGGCTATCCGAACCCAGGTGAACCCTCATCCGGGATCTATCTACAACGCCTTAAGGTTATCTTCACTCTAAGTTCTAAGCAAGTTTTCAGGTCGCCCGAGCTCGAGCAAACTCTCACTCGGGGACTGCTTTCAAAAGCCTAAAGGCTATCTTTATTCTCGGACGTCCGAGAGAATTTCCCTTCGAGGACTATTGACGGGGTCTGAAAGGCTATGTTTCGTTCTATGAATTCGAAGCCCTATTTTCACTCAGGGATCCCGGCGGCCTAAGCGTGTATCTATCCAACCCGGGCTCAGTCCGAGGGATGACAAAGGGCTCCACAGAATATCGTATTAATCAATCAGGAGACGAGGAAGTACCTACGCCCGGGCCCGGTATTCGGACCGATCGGTAGAGTCATGCACTCAGATTCTTCACAAATGCAAATAAAGGAAAATCCAGCATAAATCGGAGACAAATTGAAGAAACTTCTTTGCATTAACAAACGATGATTACAAAAAGCCCATGAAGGGACCTTACACATAACTACAAAGGCCCACGAAGGGTCCTTATACAGAAATAAAAAAGCAAAGGTAACAGCTGAAAGTCTAAATTATTCTCAGGGGTACATCCTCGGGAGCAATGCCTTCGAGAATCGTCTCTTCGGGCCCTCGTCTCGACTTTCCAAGCAATGTCTTCGAAAACCTCCTCCGAAGCAGAAAAAAATGAAGAAGCAGAAAAGGATGAAGAAGCAGAAAAAGACGAAGAGGGAGTCGTGGCTCGCCAAAGAGCAAAAGCTCTTTGCAGGCCTTGCCAGCACGGCTACTTTGAGTCCACTTCTTGGAACATTGTACCGTTCAGGTTAGTAGTTGGTAGCGCCGCTTCACTCCACGGAAAGCAAAAGGGGTGAACACACCCAGCCAAAGTAGGGAGGTGAGCAGCTGTGTAAAGTTTGAACGTCCTCCGGAGCAACAGTGTAAAGTTCGAATGTCTTCCTGAGTAGGAAAAAATCCAACGCCCCCTCCCCTCATCGTCTCGAGCCAACGACAGCAGTAACAACAACAACAACAACAAAACAGTGCGATCCCACTCAGTATGGGAAAGTTCTGAGAAAGAGCTATAACACAACTGGCAAAAACATCGTCGTATGACCTTGCGGCCACAAGCTTCGTACATGGGAAATAAAATTGGATGAAGATGAAGAGAAGTAAGGGGTCGAGGATTGCTGAAGAATGGCTAAATGAGGTTTTGGTTCAAGAAAGCTTCCATTTGTAGAAAGGAGAAAGCGTAACCAACAGCGCAATCAATGCCTCTGGGAAACGCGCCGATGGCGCAATCAATGTCTTGGGAGAACGGATTGGCAGGCGCAATCAATGCTTGTTGGGAAACGGATCGGCGGCGATATTATCGCCTTGAGAAAGTAAACTGGCATTGTATCAAATGTTCCTCGAAAAGATGTATCGATGGGACGTCTCAGTTATCGAAAAAGCTGACATCATAAGCATGACATCATCGCAAGAGGCTTGAGGGGATCAGTGTCAGAGCCGTTTCTTATCATTTTTATCTAAGAAACGCGGGGACTATTTGTATACGGTAAAATCGGAGGGTCCAATTTTCGGTCATTACGACGCCTCATAAGCACGTTTCCGAAGGTTCGAGGCTATGTTCGAGATTCACATCCGAGGAGTTATCGACGTCCAACCTCGGGGCAATGTCGATCGATGATCATGGTAAAAAAGTGAGAAGTTCCCAAGGCATATGATCAAAGCTAACAAAACCTACAAGGGAAACACTAGTCTGTACCAGACTAGTGAGTAGCTGGTCCAGCTATGTTTCTTTGTAATAATTACTCATGTACTAGGATGGGATTTCCCTCCTTATATAAAGGGGATCCTTGTCATTTTGTAGGAGGAGGATCTGGGAAAAAAGATATACTACATTGCATTCAATACAAGAACATTCTCTGCTCTCTAGCTTGAACATACTCTTTTGGTTTCATTATTTACATTTATTGCTTATGCTCATTGTGTTCTATTAATTGTTCATCATTTATTGCTCATTATTGATCATAGAGAGCCGTCATCGCAGCTCTCATAACTGTTAGTCCTTCATCGACTACCAATAACCGAGTATCAGATTCGACCTTGAGGCCCCATATATGCAAGCTCGAGGCCTCGATACCTAGCCATTTCGGTTCGTCTATTAAGCTATCTACAAGCCATCGTCTTAATTTCCAGTCCTTCACTTAGCATCCATTGCCTAACAACTAGCATAAAATAGATCACATATTTTTAGAACCACAAAATCAAATCTAATTGTTATAAACATTTTCAAGGTAAACAGTACCTAAGAGTATTTAATATATTTCAAATAATAAAATAAAGTTAATATGGTCAGTTTCATTATGGACTAATATTTGAGGGTGAATTCGTGTGAAAACGACCAAAAATCAATTAAACTGTAGATGATGGAGTAGAAAGAATGATCAACATTTTTGGGACCAGAAGCATTGATTATTCGGGAAAGTGATGGGACTAGCTAATCCCAAAAATGTTCTTTCTACTCCATCAACTCCTCACAAAAAGGTGATGCGTGAGTCTCAAACGCAGTAATGGGGCAAAGAAGCCAAATGACATGTGGAAAAAACTTTCAAGGCAACTCCTACTCGTCTTCTTAATTTCACCATGTCCACCGGCCACCATTTTATTTCTCCATTTCACGACATATCTAATTACACCTTAAAAATTACTACCAAATACAAAAGAAGTTCAAGTATGTCTACAATTATAAAAATCTAAGCTAGCGTTCGGCCATAGATGTTAAATTTGATTTGAAAAATCTGATTTGGGTGAAGATTGGTTGGAAGATCAAAATGTGTGGCAATACGTTTTCAAAACATTTTCCAACTTTATTTTGAAAAAACATGTATATAATTCTCAAGTTTTGGGATTTTGGCCCAAAATCAGCAATTGGGGTGATTTTGGGACTTGGGGTTTGGGATTTGGGATTTTGCCAAAATATGGGCAAAATTTATGGCCAAACATGATTTTTGAAAATAAATCCCAAATTTATTTTGACAAAACTCATGGCCAAACGGGTCCTAAAACTCCATAGAAACTCATGCTTACCCTTTCTCTGAAAAAAGGATGTACAAACCAACGCTAAAAGAGCTTTTTCTCCAGATGGGTGAAATTTGCAGAAAAAATACCCATAATTTGCTTCTCATTTCGCTTTTTTGTTCTAGTTGAACAATTAATGTTAAAACTTCTCCTTGTAAGGACTGTGGACGAATTTGAGCTCCCAAAATGCTATCGCGTTACTTGTTTTTCCCCCATTATATATTTGAAATTTTCATCAATACTGGAAAAATGTAAATTTACAAGGAATATGTTAGCAAAATTGGCAGAACCAAACATGTTTGTAATCATAAATAAAATAGTGTGACAAGTCTTACACGGTGGATCCTTGGCGCAATGGTAGCGCGTCTGACTCCAGATCAGAAGGTTGCGTGTTCGTTTCACGTAGGGTTCAATTCCCATATTTTTATTTTTATTTTTCTCTTTTTATTTATATATTGGTTAGCTGTTTCTTCCTTTGTATAAATTATGTACGAGTTAAGGCGACATTCAATATAGTTTGAGTGCTCTGAGGTTTGATAAAATTTCTTGACAATACTTTTTTTGCTAGAACACTCAAATTAATGGAGTTCATGAGCTCGAAATTAATCAATCACACAAGTAATAATAGTTTGAGAACCCCAAAAGTACAGAACTGAATATCCCACTTTTTGAAATAACTTATTTGTTCTCTCTAAATAGCTTTGTCAAAACGGTTTATTCGATTAAAACCTACTAAAAAAAATACTATAACAATGTCCTCTTACTTTATTTTTTGAAACAATTTTATGATGAATACATAGCTCCGCACTATTTAGCTGCAATATTTGCCATTTCGAGATTCAAAAGAAATTAAATGTCAGTAGCCTAGATGTTTTTTGTATTTAGTCCTGAGAAAGGTCAGCACCGTATATAAGTAAAAGGGTGTTTAAGACTTAAAGAGTGCAGTGGCTTCTAATTCAGCAATTAAATGATCCTCCATATAGGCTACAAGCATTTCAACATAAAACCACAAAGATCGTAATGATTTGTTACACATACAGAGCGAAGTACAAAAGTTACAGAACTTACATTGTATAACACTTAAAGAGCTGTTGGAATTTTCACTGTTGAGCATAAAAAGCAACAGTTTTCAACCACCAGCATCCTTCTCCCACATAAAAGCCAATTCCTTCTATAGCATGCAAAAAGCCATTTTACAACCAAACGACTATATACAAGCATTACAATCACTCTCCCGTAGTCGTGCTTAAACATATCTTCTCTAGTTACAAAACTCAAATACCAACAAGTCCCAAAAGTTCTCCAAGAATTGAGATTTTTACAAGTATAGCATCACTCAGTTTGCATATATCATCTCCCCGCTGCTTTCAACATCAATATCAGGATCAGAATCATAATCAAAGTCAGTTAACTCATCATCCAGCATTTCCAAATTATACAAGCCCACAGGTGGCACAGTGGCCTCCGAGATTATTTGCATAATCTTATCTATGCTCTGCATAGGCTGGTCAGGCTCTTCAAAGTGGTCACTCATCATCATATCATCCATTAAATCAGCTGGAAGGTTCTTCAAGAACCATACATGATTTCTGATTTCATGCATTGTGATCCTCTGTTCAAAAATAGGAAAATGAGTAAGGCAGACATCATAACTGCAATCAGAAAAGCGTTATCCTTCTTCTTTTCTTTCTTTTTTTTTTTTGAACAATCAAGGTGTCCAGACTAGATTGTGTGGACCTCGACTAATCCACCGGATACTTGCTATGTATTTTGTTAATTACAATCAGATAAGCCTTATCCTTCTTTGAGTAGATATGATGATGAGTGTGTTTTGTTGGTTAATTACATTTACATATGCATGTTTATGGTATTTTCGGTTGTTCTTAGGTTCTGAAGCCATACTTGTGCTTTTAGCAAAGAGCAGATAAAAAGAAAGGCTGCCTGACGGAATATGAATTTGGCGACAAAGAAGAGAGGTGTAAAATAGAAGAAAGAAAAAAATAGACTTTAGTTATTCACACGCTGAACTCCAAGTGAAATTCACTCATTGTGCCGCATCAGCACAAGATGTTCAATAGGCACATTTTGAGCCTATTTTAGGTGTCTAATTAGGTAATAGCCTGAGTTGAGGTGTCTAAATAAAAAATCGTGACAACTTTATGGGGCTATCTATTTATTTGGCCATTTTAAAAGTTTAAGTTGCGATATGATCTTCTTGTCAAACCAACTTTCTGACTATCACTTGTTTCTATCAGTACCAAACACAAGGAAAACTAATGTCTAAACTTCACCAAATTGAGTAGGCGAAATAGAAGAGAGATGGGACATATTTAATTGAAGAGGGCTAATTCACATAAACAAGAGCAATAGCATAGTTGTTGATTATTTATAGTACAGATGAATCTGCAGCCGATCTTAATTGAAATCCTAATGGAATGACAACAAATAGAACACCATAAGGGCTACCCAAAATCTCTTGAATCTGGAAACCACTAAGCAGTTTACATGGTATCATGAATTCTTAAAAATACCACTAACCTGTTCAGGATTTGCTACAAAAATCCTTGACATTAAGTGGCGACATTCCTCAGATATCTCAATGTGATCTGGAATAGAATATTGCATGCTCAAGATTCTCTGTGTATCAGAGCAACGGATAAATATGTGCAGCAAAAAAATAGTAAAAGATTTATCATAAGATTTGAGAAGTACGCTTATTGTCTTCTTGACATCCTTTGGGTTCTCAGGATCCTCAAACGGGTACGCACCCACTAACATCACATATAATGTAACACCACACGACCACACATCAGCAATCTGAAATAAAAAGAACCATTGAGACATGTTGCCAATTGAACTTGAAAGTTGACCTAAAATGGACCAAATAAGTACTAAACACACCAGAAACAAATTAACAGATAGTAAGAATCGAGATCTATGAAACTGTTATTGATCCACAAACTGATGTCAACCTGATTTCAGCTGACTATCACCCAAGGTTGGATACAGGAATTGTCCTTCCCGCTTCACCTCATCAGCATGCCAAAATCCCTCAAATACACACACATAGAAGGTCCATTTCTCATGATATAATTTGGCTGGTGGGATAACATTGTATCGCCGTTTCAGAATAAGCTGGCACTAACACGAACTACTTAATAGGAGCTTATGCTATAGAAAAGGACGGTTCTGTCCCTGAATTTATAATTTTTGAGCTCCTCATACTAATTTTTCCCTGCTTCGTGAAACCCAACTATTTGAATATAGAACTTAATCTAACCCACTGCACCTCTGTTCATTGGAAAAAATATACCTACACCTTTCCCCTTCTTTTCAGGCATAAGCTGAATGCTCAACTGGACTGACTTTCCACATTACAACTAACTAACACATTCACTCAGAACGAAAGACCGCTTCAAGCATGAAAGACAGATTCATATAATTTGTCGGAGATTTTTCCGGTTCTACAGTTGAATAATGTTCTAGAAGTTAGCTCATACTGGAAGATAAATTTATGACTTACTGTTAAACTGTGCAATAAACTAATTTACCTTGCCGTCATACTCTTTCCTTAGAAAAACTTCTGGAGCAATATAAGCAGGAGTTCCCACTGTTGAGTTGGGCTGTGAATGCAACAGAGAGGACTGCACAAGTGGCAATAATGATAAAATAGTTATGATTTTACATTTCCATTTATATTGAACGTGTTAGGAATCTAGATCCAGATTTCAAGATAAAAATTGAACCAGGTACATGGGTCAGTGTATGGATAATTATTGGGGGTTATTGTACCTTGGAATACCCAAAATCACATATCTTCAAACGAGGAGCAGGGCTTCCATCAAGCAATGTATTTTCCAGCTTCAAGTCCCGATGGCATACGTGCTTCACCGCGAAATACAACAGAAACAAGCTGAATAACAATCCAATGGATCTCAAGGTCTGAAATATAGAATGGATTGAGAGTGTATGAAGATTCATTACCATTGAGTGGAAGTGGCTGACCCCGGATATAAGTTGCTGGAAAAAGAACCGAGCCTGCACGCCACAACATTAAGTAATCCCAAAAATCTCATTCAATTATAGCAAAGTGATGTACAGTTAGCAGATTAAAAACCTCATCCTCGCTGAAGCGTCCTGCATTACAAATTCTCTTAAAAAGCTCCCCGCCAGATGCATATTCCATCACAATAGCAAGATGAGTTGGCGTCAGAATAACCTAGAGTAAAATCTTAAGCAGATTATCATCAATATATAATATCCTATATTTAGAATCTAAAATTGAAGTAAATGTCAAACCTCTCTGAATCTAACTATGTTAGGATGCCGTAGGGACCGGTGATTGATTATTTCCCGCTGAATGTTTTTATCTATCTGCAATGGTTAGGGGAATGGATAAAAAAGCAGCTATCATATGGAGCAAGATATTACCAGTTATAAATTTCCACCTTACACATGGACAACAAAAGCAAGGGGTAACTCAGTTGAAATACAAACTGCCAACTCTTGCACCACTTTACATCACTATTTTGTCACAGTTATTTATCAGAATGCAGATTAAGAAGAGAATAATTCAGATAGACATAGAGCAATGTTTATCATTCTCTATTTCCAGAATTTGAATTACGTGTAATTAATGTTTATCAAGAAAATTACACGTAATTACCGCTGACTTCAAGGTTGAGAAGCCTTCACCCGTTCCCGGCCCGGGTGAGAAGGTATCTAGGTATATTTGCTCGATCACCGAGGATATACTTCCCAAGGTCATAGAGGATTGCAACTGGGCCGGAAAAGACGCGGTGATTCCCGTGCCCGAAGAAGACATCACTACCCACTTGGGCCCACTGGGCCCGGTGATTATGCAATTTTGCAAAAGGTACGAGGTGTGCCTCGGTCAGATCCACCTCTCGTTCTGGAGTATAGTCATTCTCCTCTGATTCTTCATGAGCAAGATCGACGGGTGCCCTTTCATCGTCGATCATCTGATGCACCTGTACAGTCCCCGATTCTTCCAGGGGGAACTAATCAAACTTGCACACCGAGCCACCAAAGCCCTGTTCTCGAGCATTGATGAGGATCGAGACCGAGGTTGGCTAGGCCGATTTGTCCGAGTGAGGACCTCGGACTTGATCCCAGCCAAGGACATGCCGTTCCCCGAAGAGTGGAACACAAAACGTAAGTCAAGTTCTTCTTTTCCCATAATTCAATATTTTCGTTCTCCTTTTCAGTTTCTTACCGATACTTGGTTGCAATGTAGTTGTTGCTCAGGTTCCAAAGGCAATTCCTCGACTCGGGGAATGGGTCGAGGGCATCGTCTCCAAGAAACCCTACTCCGAACACGCATGGCACAAACTTTCAAAGGGCCGGTGGGAGGCCGGTTCTCAGAGCGAGATCCTTTCCTAGAATAGACAACACTTGGGCTTCTTCTGAGCTTACTCATATTTTTTTCTTTATAGGCCTTGGGAATGATATTGCAATGAGGCCCCTGACCGGCAATGAGGACAGCCCCGCCGAGTCCCCTGCTCCGAGGCAGGGCGAGGAAAAGAAGAGGAGAAGGCCTCCGAGTTCTCCGAACTCGGAGAAGAAAAAATCGAAGAGGAGGCTGGCGCGTAAATCCAAGGAAAGCACTGGCGCTCTCCCATCGGACTCAGTCCACCGGCTAAGGGATGAGTCCGAAGAAGAAGAAGATGCTTCGAGCTGGTGGCCCATGTGCGAGGCAAAACCGCATTGCCTCAAGCCAGGGAGGCTGCTGAGGGGGCAGTGGCCGAGGCCTCCGAGCCGGAGAGGGGCGAGGCCGTTTTGCCCCAAGTTAGGGAGGCCGATCAAGATGTTGCGACTGGTGTTTATCGAGCGGAGGATAATGCTCCAAAGGATGCGCTCGGGGTGATAGACCTCTCCGAGTCACCACTATTTACCGACTCGATGATCCGTGACGCCCAAACGCTAAAAGGGCGCCCAGCTGAGGGGCCCTAAGAGGTGGCAGACCCCTTTGACCATCTTTTAGATGGTTTGGATTCTTCCGCCTCGGAGGACATCACCGGGTTGGGCGACTTACCTGTACCGAAGAAGAGTCCGTCCTCGAGAACCAGCGAGCCTTCTTCAAGTCCGAAATTAGTGGACCGGTTCCCAGCTCCGAGTGTAGATCCTAGTCGGAAGCGGACAATTATTATGTCCATTCCGGAGGATGCCCGGGTCCTTTCAGCCCCCGTGGGAGTCGCAAGTTACCTTCGGTGCTTGGTGACCGAAGAGGATCAGGCCAAGATGAACGAGGTGGAAGCGTCCTACCTGTTCAATGAAGCCCAACAGGCGTTAAACAGGGAAACTTCGAATGCCTTTTGACGCCTTTATTATGTACTTAGATTAATCTTGTGAATTATCGTAACCCTTTCATTCGTGTTTGTAGGCCTTAGTACTCCATCACGAGACTTTTCTTCGATACTAAGAACTAAACCACTACGAGGCCGAGACCCGAGAGCTCATCGAGAGGACGGATGCTTACAAGCTTCTCAATGAGCAACGCGAGGGGGAGGTCAAGAAACTCCAAGCTAAGCTGGAGGCGGCCCGGAAGGAGCATGCTCCTGGCCGAGCAGGTAAGAATAGTCTTTGAGGATAGTGACGATGAGTCAGACATGGCGGCTAATGGTCCGAACCCGCAGGTCCAACAGAAGCTTGACCAAATTGGAAAGCTTCAGGCAGAGGTCGATGCGGTAAAGGCCGAGGCAGAAGAGTGGAAAAAGAACATGGACCGCCTGGCCTTAGAAAAGGAGACCGCCCGAGCACAACTGGCTTCGGCTGAGGTTCAGCTTCGAGGTTTAAGCGAGAAGTTCTCGGAGCAGGCCAAGAAGATCGAAGAGCTCCAGTCCCAGCTAAACTTGGCCGTCTCTGATCGGGAAGGTCTGGCCAAGGATCTCGAAACGGTCAAGTCAGAGGACAAAGTAATAAAAGCTGATGCCGAGGAAATGGTGGCCGTTTATAAGGCCGACGCCGAGGCGGCTCAGGTCCGGGCAAAGGACATCATTGAGCATGCTAAATGGCAGTCTCAAAGGGAGGCCCTTGAGAAGATTCATGAGATCGAGAGTGCCAAAAAGCTCGAAGCCGAGGCTAAAAAGTTGGCCTATCCCGAAGACGACGAGGAGCCCGAAGACTTGAGTGAGTCCGAAGGTGGCGGAGATCCTGAAGTTGATGATGTTGCCCCCGACGAAGACTATGCCACTTAGGCTTTTAGATGTTTTTTGGTTTTTTTTTTTTTGTATTTTTGTTGAGGTTGTTTGGCCTTTGTAAAAATTCTCATCGGGCTGTTCGGCCCTTGTAAAAAGAAATTTCTGATTATGAATACAAAGACCTTTCCCTTCAACAGCTTTCAAATTTTCTCTTTGCCTTATTTTTATTTGCAAAGATCTAAGTGCCTTAGCATGAAGTAGTTGGGTTCTGTTTAGAGGCTCGAAGAAACCTTGCCTTCAACTTTATTTCATTTTAAGGCATCGTGGGGGTTCGGTGTGACCGAAAGTTTTCTTTCCCCAAAGTACTTAGACTTTTTTAAGTCATAATTTGTCGAGGGTAGCCTTTAGAGCCAGTTATGAAAAACTTTTTGGAAGGCCTTGTATTTATTACGGGTCTCAGACGTCTCTGAGCCGTGTTAATATGGCCGTAGCTTGCCTAAGATAACCGTCCCCGAGTGGAGGTGGCCTTAGCCTTTAAAATTCGGGCATAGCCTGATAGGACTTGTGCCCTCGAGCTCTGATAATTCGAACCGTCCGAGTTTGGTTTCGGATAGCAGTTCCCGGGTGGGAGTGACCGCATGAACCCGGCCTAACGTGGCCCTTGGCTCGATACATTTAGGAGATCGGAAGTAAGGGATTTCTTAAGAAATGCAAAAAACTTAAAAAGGCAACGATACTTATCCGCAAGGAAGAGACTTCTTTTCATTCTTGTGTATCATAATTACATATGTGTACAAGCTTTGCGTCGGGGGTCGAGCAATCTATGTGGGCACGGTTCATTTGACTGTTTGGCCCTTACAATAAATCCTATCGATCGAGACCCTTTGGTTACGAAGTTTCTTCCCTTACTAAAGTCGATATCCAAGGATAATGTCCCCCAGTATTCGAAGTTGATTATAGAGAAGCCTCGGATACTGTTAATGTGATCTTCGACACCGATTCGTGATAGGTCTTCGATTCTAAGTTAGCACGATCCATTGTTGCCTCGTTAAAAACCTTGCCGGAAAACCCATTTGGGACAAAACCGGTTCAAGGGAAAAAGAGTGCAACGCGTGCTTTCAAACCTAAAAACTTTGCACCACTCTTTGTCAGTTACCTGCAAGCGTTAGTCCGAAATATAAATAAAAGAAAATAAATGGGGTCGTACCTTAGCAGTAATATCGTTTTAGGTGAGTTACATTCCAATTGCTCGGTAGTTGTTCCCCGTTCATCGTTGCGAGTTTGTAGGATCCTTTTTCCGATGATTTCGATGATATGATACGGCCCCTCCCAGTTCAACCTCAACTTTCCCTCGTTTGGGTTTCGAGTGTTCAACGTGACCTTCCTTAGTACCAAATCCCCGACGTAGAAGTATCGAAGGTTGGTCCTTCTGTTGTAATATCTCTCGATCCATTGTTTTTGGGCAGCCAACCGAACAAAGGCGGCTTCCCGCCTTTCATCCAATAGCTCCAGGCTCGTATTCATGGCCTCGTCATTTGATTCCTTTGTTGCATATCGGAATCTGATACTTGATTCTCCGACTTCGACCGGTATTAGAGCTTCGGCGCCGTAAACCAATGAGAATGGAGTGGCCCCGGTATTGCACTTCGAGGTCGGATAACAATTGAATTTATAAGTGGTTTTAAGGATACGTGGAGTAAATTGATTCAAAGCAATAAGTTAAATTATTATTGCAAATAACAAATGATAAGGTAAGTTCAAACCGCACGAATTGGACAGTAACAGCCTTGAGAGGAAGGCCCCCCTTGGATAGGATGTAATTTGACCACAGTATCAAGTCACAGTCGAAATAGAGCTTTAAAGAGAAAATAGCAGTATATTGCTTCTAAGTTAATGTTACAGTGTCCATTGCAAATAATCAGACCCCCTTTATATAGTATGAGAGTCCTACTTTAGGTACAATTCTATGAAAGGTAAGAAATCTCATGATTTGCTAATTAATCAGTCCCTCATTGATACGTGCCGAGATTCCCGCCGTGATCCGACCGGTTGCGGATATTTCGGCCTTCTGTTATTTGGTCCGATAATGTTTCCTCGAGCTTATTCGGAGTCGGGGCAGGTTCCGGAGTTACGGGCTCGACGATCTTGAAGACGTATGTTCTAACCTCGTACCTTGGTTCGATGGAACTTGGGACCGATCTTCAATCTATCACGTTTCAGTCCCGAGTCTGCCATGCAATAGATGAGTCCGGTTTCGACCGTATACAAATCTTTAATGGTAAATGACATATTATAACAGGTTAAATTATACTGATGTGGTAAGAACTACATTACAGCATACATGCATATAACTTAAATTCAAAATTGAATTTAAATTTTGTACCTGAAATTGTAAAAAATATATACACAATCAAGTGACTTAAAAGGTAACTGATGGGTAAACTTTAATACATTACACTAACAAGTTACATATAACTCAAATGCAAAATTCGTAATACGAAACTAACCTTATCGCCTCTTTCGATATACTTTACAGCAACTAGCTCTTTAGTTTGCTTATCTCTCATGAGTCTCGCAACTCCAAAATTACCCGACCCGATATCGTCAACAAAATCGTACCGATCACAGTCGTGCATGATCGGCATATCCATACCCGGTACCACACCGATTCCAACCCGATCCATTTCGAACAAGGGATATGGAGCTGTGAGTGAAGACGAATGAGTACTTTTTTGGAATTTCAGCTTTTTCTGGTAGAGGACTGTGGGGAGAAGAAGAGAGGAGACGGGGGAGTTATATTTGACGTTGAAGGGAGGTAAAGATAGGGAAAAAAAGGTACTAACGGCGTCACTTTGTTAGGCTGCCGTTTGAAACGACGGGGTTTGTTTTTATTCTATTGGCTGACTGCGACAAACACCTGATGATTTTAGTCACGTGTTCACATTCTGTTGTTTGAAATGGGTAGAGGCAGCTTGCAATAAACAATTATGGGACAATACATAACTTGGCGATATTTATCAATTGCACACCTAAATTTTGTAGGGGTCTTATTATCCCTTATTTTTGACAGAAGTCAAATTATTATCATCCTGACCAAGTCAAGGGCGAAGTTAGATGAGTTCGGGAAACTCAATAACTTTAGCTTAAATTTAATATTTATATTAAAAAAACTCATATAATATATACAAAAAAGTCTATCCAAAACCCAATAAACAAAAAAGATTGTGATCTAAAACCCATAAAATAAAATTCTGGTCTCGCCTCTATTATGGCCAGAACCCAAATTGAGAAATTGGCGTGTGAATAAAATTTAGATAAAAACACCCGTAGCTGAAACACGGAAAAAATTCAACATAATATGCTAGATCATGTAACTCATGCGTATAAAACTCCAACATATTATGTTAGAATTCAAGCAGATTATAAATTTCAGCACATTATGCTAAAATTCATACATAACAAATCAAATTCCAGCATATTACGCTGAAATTTTACAAATATAATGTTAAGAATCAGCCCCAGCCCAATGTCATACAAATAGCTATTGGGCTGAGAACAAATAATTGGGCCTCGTTAATTTGGGATCTAGCTGGATTGGTGGGCGTAATGATTTTGTTAAAAGGGACGGTGGTCTGAGATTGTGGGGATATGCCTATTGTTGAAGAAGAAAATGTTTGTTCCTCTCATCTCCTTGCAGTGCATCTAAGGTTCTCATCTCCCTTCTTCTATGGTGTATTTCTGTCCTCTCATCCCTCTCTGTTATCTCTCAATTATTCTTCCTTTACTGTTTCATTGCAATTTCCATTATTTGTAGTTCGTTCAGTGAATCAATATAGCTAGTTGGCTTGGTTGTTACTCGCTTTGTTACATTGGGGCTTTCATCCATAGGACTCCAACAACAAAGATGTTTCTGCCTGATCGGATAGCTGGATTTTTCGGGCCGAGTTGTACTTCACATACCTTGGCTTCTCAAAGAAGGACTGGCTACCTCTTCCTTACTTCTACCTTGATGGTGAAGCTCTTGCTTGGTTCACTTGGTTGCATCGAAACAAACCATTCATCGATTGGACGCATTTTAAAGAAAAATTGCGTATACGATTTTGACAACGGACGTTCACAAATTCGGTGAGTAGGGAAGATACTTCACAAGCCCGTGTTGACTACGTGAGTTACGCCGCATTGGTTCCACAAGCGACCTCTGTATCTCCAGTTGCAACTCTGAACCATGTCCCAAACTCGTCTGACTTGGAAGCAACCTTCAACGGTGGAAACTCAGAGGCAGCCAATGTGTTCGATAAATTGTCTAATGGAGCTGACGAGCGTGATTCTCGTGAATTGCCATCTTCAGTTCCGTCTCCTAAAATCCAGGCTGCTTCGGACTCTGTTGAACTTGAACCTATAGATTATACAAATAGTGACACTACAACTTTAGCAAACGATGAAGACAAAGTGCTTGACAAAAAATCAGAAGGAACTGACTCGGTTGTGCTATATCAATTTGCGCATGATGATTCATTACCAGTTTCTTATGATTAGTCACCCTTGCTTTTATCCTGTGTTGAAAATACAAATGCACAGATTGTCTCCTGATCACGCTCAACTTTAATCCTAAAAAGGATAAGCGGTCGCTGCAAATATAATCCGGTCTAAAAGTCCGGAGTCGAATCCCACAGAGAACTAAGGCTTAGCTATAACTGTTCAATATCACCAAGAGGACAAGCTCGAATAACTTTTAAGTTACTTAAACTAATTAAATACTCCCTCCGTTTTAAACTAAATGAGGTAGTTTGACTCCGCACGGAGTTTAAGGAAAAAAAGAAAGACTTTTGAAATTTGTGGTCTTAAAAGCTTAAAGGGTAGAGCTTTGTAAGGCCATGACTTTTGTGTGGTTATAAAAGCTTCTCATTAAGGGTAAAATGGGTAAAATGAGGAGTTTAAAGTTGAATTATTTTCAAATTTAGAAATGTTTCATTTATTTTGGAACAGATTAAAAAGGAAAGTACCTCATTTAATATGAAACGGAGGGAGTAATAATTATCAAAAAGCAATAGAAGTTTATCAACTAAAGAAACTAAGGGTTGGAGACTAAATTAAGGAGGTCTAGAGTTATGATTTCCCCAATTATCGGAGTCCTTCCTGCTATGTCTTCTATAACTTCACCTAATTATTCTCTACTGATCATGAGCACTCGACTTATCGTAATTCTCTCTCGAGCAACTACAATAATGTACTAGTCATATTCTCTCAAATTACGCTAGCTCGCACTTTTTCGCCGCTCACTGTGATCACGTCAAAGCTTCGTTATTTCTAGTCCCGCTTTTAAATCTGCCGTATTGATCTCTCATATACTTTAAGAGTGATGTTGTTCAACAACCACCTAAATATATATTCTTTCTCAAGCAATACATAATAAATAGGTACAGTCAACTGATGGCCATTCAATCAACTGAAATAAGCACATAGTTGAACAAGTAGATAAATCCAAAGGTTAAATTATATTAAAATATAACAAGAATTTATCCTCCAAAAGGTTACATCAAAACTCTAGATAATAAATTAGCTATTCATAACAGTATGTGAAAGTACAATACTAAAATTCATAGCCAACAATAGAAAACAAGAAGAAGAAAGAAAAAACTCGTGGTTGAATCTTATTCCTTGCTCCTCGTGTATCCTTGCCTCCAAAGGTGTTGTGTAACCCTAAAGTAGTGTCTCCTTAGCCTCCTTAGGTCTAAATTATGTCAAAAGCCCTCAAAATACCATTTTTCCATGTATATATACCAAGTAGGGTAGGGCCCAAACAATTACACATTCTCCTACGCGAAAAAGGACACTTTTCCCGGATAGGACGTGCGTGGCCGCGGATCAACCACGGATTGACCGTGCATTTTGATCAGTGTTCTGCTTGACATGCGCGGCCAGTGCGCGGCCGCGCCCTTTTCACCCTATTTTGTTGGAAATTTGGAAAAACGTAAAACATGAAAGTTGTAGACCTTTGAGTTAGCTTTCCAACCACATATTGTGGAGCCTAAATGGATTCTGAACAAAAAGTTATGTGCATTTTACTAGATGGTACACAATATGCATACTCAATTCTTCGTTCGTTGTTAACTATCATCCGTTGATCCCCGAACACGATCCCGACTTAATTCCTTGGGCTTTTACTCAGACTTCAAAGCTTCAAATCACTTGAATTCATTCTATAGCATCTACATAGCTTGAAATCACTCCTACAAGGCATAAAACACACAATTAGTGCAAAACACTAGCGATTAAAGCTCAAACTCAATTAAAGTGCAGTAAATTAGAGTGTAATAAGACTAAAATACATAATTATAGCCTATAATCATATCCCTCGTGACTGGCTTCGCTTTGGAAGTAGGAAAAATAAGCCATGTGAACAAGGTGTTCACTGAAAGTCCCCAAGATGCTTTAGAGTTCCTCGGTCATGTTTCATATAAGAAATCATGGTTGATTCCTTTTCTGGCTTGCTACGAGTATGTACAACAACATGATAAGAAGTTCGCAATAGTTAATGAGGTTTCAATTGTTGAGAAGTCTGTCTTAGATGACATTTTATTCGTTGAGTCTGAAAATCCAAATTGGGATGAAGAGTTTGCGTTGGTAATTAAGCAACCTTTACTACGAGATTCTCAGCTTGTAGTTTTGAGTTGCATAATACTAAATGGTTGTAACAATTTGCCTTATAATACTAAGAAAGTAATTTTGAATATGGTTGAGAAGAATAATGCGATGGTGGTACAGGTATCTCTTCATTACTATGAGATAATGACAAACATTTATGGAATTACACTAGATGAAGCAGGAGAGCTTGTTTTTCTATATATTCCATTGTTGGGTGGGCATTATTCAGTTCCTGTTCTTGTAGGAGGGCAGGTTTCTTTATTCTTGCACTTATCTTCAATTGGCATCTATTTCCAACTGCTCACTTCGGACTTGACTTTCCATTTGACCCTGGTTCACGTTTGCATCCCTCATACTGGAGCAACGGGGTCGAGACTGTTGGAATAGGTGTCATATCTAATACACCGTATTAGAGTTGTTCATTAATATTGCCTTTCGTTTTGTGTTATTTACTACCGTTGGTAAAGCTGGTGTATGTTTTACACTGTGTATGGTGTGGCCGAGAAGGATTTACAATCCTCTAAGTCTGTGACGGCTACAAGTTCAAAGGCATTTCAGAGACCAACTAAAGCCAAGGTTGTATGTGAGAATGCAAGATGCACTTTGAGCGACATGACTGCAACGAGCTTTAGGGGTAGTGTTGTTTATATTGTCGAGATGGTGTCTCTCCCCATATTTTCTACCACTACTAAAAATCCGCCAAAAACCGACCAAAAAATCGACCAAAGTTGGTCTTTTATGGCCAATTATCGACCAAAACGTGTCCATTTACGTTTGGACGGTATTTTGACAGTCGGCTAAGAATACCGTCCAAAGTTGGTCGAAAATTACCGACCAACGTTGGTCGATAATTAAATTCAAAAGATAAATATTGCAAAAAAAAACCGACCAAAAAGTTGGTAGGTATTTTAATTATGTAATCAAAAGATTCACCATCTGGAAATCGAACTAGGGTGTGTACAAATGGTTCTGTTAAAAGGGACTGTAGTCTGAGATTGTGGAGATATACCTATTGTTGAAGAAGAAAATGTTTGTTCCTCTCATCTCCTTGCTCTGCATCTAAGCTTCTCATCTCCCTTCTTCTATGGTGTATTTCTATCCTCTCATCCCTCTCTGTTATCTCTCAATTATTCTTCCTTTACTGTTTCATTGCAATTTCCAGTATTTGTAAGTCTGTTCAGTGAATCAATATAACTAGTTGGTTTGGTTGTTACTCGCTTTGGTACATTGGTGCTTTCATCCATCGGACTCCAACAACGAAGATGTTTCTTCCTAGATTCAGTGGCGATGGCAACCCGGATAGCTGGATTTTTCGGGCCGAGTTGTACTTCACATACCTTGGCTTCTCAGAGAAGGACTGGCTACCTCTTCCTTACTTCTACCTTGATGGTGAAGCTCTTGCTTGGTTCACTTGGTTGCATCAAAATAAACAATTCTTCGATTAGACGCATTTTAAAGAAAAATTGCGTATACGATTTCGACAACGGACGTTCACAGATTCGGTGAGTAGGGAAGATACTTCACGAGCCTGTGTTGACCACGTGAGTTACGCTGTATTGGTTCCACAAGCGACCTCTGTATCTCCAGTTGCAACTATGAGCCATGTCCCAAACTCGTCTGACTTGGAAGCAGCCTTCAACGGTGGAAACTCAGAGGCAGCCAATGTGTTCGATAAATTGTCTAATGGAGCTGACGAGCGTGATTCTCGTGAATTGCCATCTTCAGTTCCGTCTCCTAAAATCTAGGCTGCTTCGGACTCTGTTGAACTTGAACCTATAGATTATACAAATAGTGACACTACAACTTTAGCGAACGATGAAGACAAAGTGCTTGACAAAAAATCAGAAGGAACTGACTCGGTTGTGCTATATCAATTTGCGCATGATGATTCATTACCAGTTTCTTATGATTAGTCACCCTTGCTTTTATCCTGTGTTGAAAATACAAATGCACAGATTGTCTCCTGATCACGCTCAACTTTAATCCTAAAAAGGATAAGCGGTCGCTGCAAATATAATCCGGTCTAAAAGTCCGGAGTCGAATCCCACAGAGAACTAAGGCTTAGCTATAACTGTTCAATATCACCAAGAGGACAAGCTCGAATAACTTTTAAGTTACTTAAACTAATTAACTAATAATTATCAAAAAGCAATAGAAATTTATCAACTAAAGAAACTAAGGGTTGGAGACTAAATTAAGGAGGTCTAGAGTTATGATTTCCCTAATTATCGGAGTCCTTCCTGCTATGTCTTCTATAACTTCGCCTAATTATTCTCTACTGATCAAGAGCACTCGACTTATCGTAATTCTCTCTCGAGCAACTAAAATAATGTACTAGTCATATTCTCTCGAATTACGCTAGCTCGCACTTTTTCACCGCTCACTGTGATCACGTCAAAGCTTCGCTATCTCTAATCCCGCTTTTAAACCTACCGTATTGATCTCTCATATAATTTAGGAGTGATGTTGTTCAACAACCACCTAAATATATATCCTTTCTCAAGCAATACATAATAATAGGCACAGTCAACTGATGGCCATTCAATCAACTGAAATAAGCACGTAGTTGAACAAGTAGATAAATCCAAAGGTAAAATTATATTAAAATATAACAAGAATTCATCCTCCAAAAGGTTCCATCAAACCTCTAGATAATAAATTAGCTATTCATAAAAGTATGTGAAAATACAATACTAAAATTCATAACCAACAATAGAAAAAAGAAGAAGAAAAGAAAAACTCGTGGTTGAATCTTCCTACTTGCTCCTCGTGTATTCTTGCCTCCAAAGGTGTTGTGTAACCCTAAAGTAGTGTCTCCTTAGCCTCCTTAGGTCTAAATTATGTCAAAAGTCCTCAAAAAACCGTTTTTCCGTGTATATATACCGAGTAGGGTCGGGCCCAAATAATTACACCTTCTCCTACGCGAAAAAGGACACTTTCTCCGGACCGGACGTGCGCGGCCGCGGATCAATCGCGGACTGACCGCGCATTTTGACCAGTGTTCTGCCTGACATGCGCAGCCAGTGCCCGGCCGCGCACTTTTCACCCTGTTCTGTTGACAATTTAGAAAAGGTAAAACATGAAAGTTGTAGCCCTTTGAGTTAGCTTTCCAACCATATATTGTGGATCCCAAATGGAGTTCGGATCGAAAAGTTATGTCCATTTTACTAGACAATGCGCAATATGCCTGCTCGATTCTTCGTTCGTTCTTAAGTATCATCCGTTGATCCCCGAACACGATTCCGGATTAATTCTTTGGGATTTTACTCAGACTTCAATGCTCCAAATCACTTGAATTCATTCCATAACACCTATATAGCCCGGAATCACTTCTACAAGGCTTAAAATACACAATTAGTGCAAAACACTAGCGATTAAAGCTTAAACTCAATTAAAGTGCAGTAAATTAGAGTGTAATAAGCGACTAAAATACGTAATTATAGCCTATCATAAACACCCCACACTTAAACCATTGCTCGTCTTCGAGCAATCAAACTACACTTTATATAGAGGCTACCTTTTTAAACAATTCTCCTAACTCATCATACCAAGAATACTTAAAATAGACTAAGCACAAAAGCGTAACATTTTCAACTCAAGATTTGACTCACAAGTACCACGCATTATTCACAACTCACCCACTTACTCTAACATAGAGGTCACTGACATTACCTTTCCTTCATGAATCAAGTGCCCTCACACAACAAAAGAGAGTAGTTTCACACAATAAAATTTAAGAACACTTAGGAACTCAAGATAGAAATAATTCACTCACTCTCAGAAATAACATTCATATGCCACAAAAGATGCACCATAGCTTGCCCGTAGTGTACTACTCTACTAATCGAGTTCATTCAGTCTAGGATAAAGTAGGACTTTATTTGGTTGTAATGTAGGCTGCGGGATGGGTAGGATACATTTGGATATAAGAGTGACTACACCTCCCTAAGCACTTTAATACATATACTTTAACATTCAAGCCCATGCTTATGTCAAATCAAAACTCCACCTTCACATCAATGTATATTACCCCATACTTTTTTAAGCACAATTACATCAAGAGTCGCCACTTATCAAGGAATATTTTTTTTCACGGCAATACAACTATATTTTCCTTTTTTTTTTCAATTCAAGTAACTCTTACTTTTTTTAAACTGTGCACCTTTCTCCTTATTTCATTAGTTCCACTCAAAAGCCAAACCAACCACCCCACACTTTAACTTTTACAAAGTTCATAATTATTCAAGTGCTCATGAGAGGTTAAAAGGTTCAAATAGATGGTTAATTCAAATAAATGGGCAAGGCTTGTAATGTGGTTGCCAAAGAAACAGGATTATAGGCTCAAAGTGGTTAACTACGATACATAACAATTAGACGGGTAAAATATACATATCTGGCTCAACAAAGAAACGCCTATATCATTTCCAAGACTAGCTCAATATAGCTAGTTGGTTTGGTTGTTATTCGCTTTGTTACATATAATTTGCCTCCAATTCAGGAACTCAAATAATTGAAGCTAAAAAAAAATTGTTTTGCTAAATAAGTCTCCCTATTCGTGGTATGATAAGTTCGTTGAGCATTTAATTTCCTAAATTATAATATAGTACTAGTTAAACTTTTCAGTTGGTGTATCGAAGCTTCTTTTCTTGTGAAAGCAACTTAGCAAAATGGATTAGAGCTTCTTCATTTGTGCCTTCCCCTTGAACTGGTTCATATTGGCCTGTCTCCAAATTGACCCTTGACACTGGCTTCTTCAATAGATTGTTACCAATCTGCACAAGTTTCTGCATATTTTTTGTGGTTGCTATATCCATTGATGCTGCATCCCCAATCAAATTATCCTCCTGTACAAATATTAGAAACTCAACATTAAGGAATTGATGTGTTTCTAGGGACCGCCATATATATAGCAAGGTTAATTTCACGAATGGTCATCAAACTAAATACGTAAAAAATTGTAAAATTAAATCCTGTATCCAAAAAGTATGTCAACTTTATATATATCACTTTCGCTTAATTGAAAATCACCAGAAATTCATCAACCCCACACCAACAACTAAACCTTCACAAAAGATTAAAGTGCCAAATAATCATTAATGTCAAATCATCAACATATCAAACTCACATCCACGTGCAATTAGTTTCATATCTCCACAATCTCATGCTCCTATTTGGATTAGAAGCACCAAAATTTATTAGCAGAAAAAAATAAAGAAGTTGATATAACTAATCCTGTATTTAATGATGTGGTAGTGTTTATTTGACAACTTTATCTTATATGGCAGTATATTAGTTGTAATATTTGGTGCTGAGTTGATGAATTTCAGGCAATTTTCGTTTATGCAAGATATAAAGATATCGTTGATATTACTTTTATGTTACAAAATTTTGTTTCATACTTTGTTGCAATAAATCATTAGTCAATTGACTATCCGTGAAATTAATTAACCTTATATATCAATGTTTTCTTTAATATTAAATGGTAAAATCTTAGAAAAGTGTATTATTGATACCTGAATTCTGAGGTAATTCTTTTCACTGCGAAGTGTCTGAAACATAGTTGAAACATGTATATCCACCATATCAGCACTTGCATCGTTATAAACATCTAATATTGGGGTCTGACCATTGTTATAAACCCAACCAAGTAAACCCCATTTTGAAGCTGAGGCTGCGGTATATCCTTGGTGCTTGCCAATACCTGTGCCTAATGATAGAACCAACATCTTCTTGCTGTCCATTGTTTCCATCTCTACATACTGAAATTTGCCTCTCATGATTTCTTTTGAAATGTGTGTAATTGCCATTTGTGTCTGCAGAATAGAGTTAAAGAATAGTGCAATTTAGTTAGTATGGAAAATTGTCAATGACTCAAACTTTTCACATAGTATTTGATGTATACTTCTATCAAAATTACATGTGAGAGCTTGAATGGATGAAGCTCCCATGGAGTTCTCTAGAATGTTCTGAGAGAACAGAGAAGAGAAGAAAGAATGGAGAAGCAGAGATATTTTCAATGAATATTATTTCATCTATTAAGCTGAACAGTACACGTATGTGTGTATGTATATACATTGACTATGACTAAAGCTAATACATTGACTATGACTAACTGTACATACACTAACTAACTAAACTATTGAATGCATTGCATTACATAAATCAATAATAATATACTCAATACCCCCCCTCAAGTTGGAAGTGAGGTCTTCACTGCCTACTTGCTGAGGACAGCTGAGTGCTTGACCCCTGTGAGAGCCTTTGTGAGAATGTCAGCCAACTGATGGTGAGTAGGTACATGATGTAGAGAAATTAGTTCTTCTTGCAATTTGTTCCTAACAAAATGGCAATCAACTTCAATGTGCTTTGTCCTTTCATGAAACACTGGATTGTGAGCAATGTGTATAGCCGACTAACTATCACAAAACACCTGGATAGGACATGACTGTATAACAGTGAGTTCAGCAAATAACCTGTTCAACCAAACCAATTCACCAACTACCTTTCTGAGGGATCTATACTCAGCCTCAGCTGTGGACAAGGAGACAGTTTCTTGCTTCTTGGACTTCCAGCTAATAGGGCTGTCTCCCACCAAAACTATGTAACCAGTGACAGATCTCCTGGAATCTGGGCATGCTGCCCAATCTGAATCACAAAATGCCTTGATTGTACAGTCAGGATTGTTTGAGAAGAACACACCTAGAGTAGGTTCCTTCTTTAAGTATCTAAGAAGGTGAAATGCAGCTGTTAAGTGAGTATCTCTTGGTGCTTGCATGAATTGACTCAGGAGTTGCACACTATAAGCTATATCCAGCCTGGTGTTGGTGAGGAAATTGAGTTTTCCCACTAACTTCCTGTAATATTGAGGGTCTGGTAATAGGTTTCCTTCTTGTGCCTTCAGCTTTATTGTAGGATCAAGGGGTGAAGTTACACTACTGTAGTCATACACTTGATATTCTTTCAACAAGTCTAGGGCAAACTTTCTTTGAGAAATAAGAATCCCATCTGGCTTGTATAGAACCTCTAATCCCAAGAAGTAATGCAGTTTTCCCAGGTCCTTAATTTTAAACTGTTGATCTAGGAAGGCCTTCAAGTATGCAATCTCTGCTGGATCAGTCCCAGTGATTATAACATCATCAACATACACACCCACAAAGATAACAGAAGTAGGAGTCTTCTTGCAGAACAAGGAATGGTCATTTTCAGAATGTTGGTACCCTTTTGTGGACAGTGCTTCAGTCAATTTAGCATACCACTGTCTACTAGCCTGCTTAAGTCCATAGAGGGACTTATTTAATCTACACACAACTTTTCCTGAACCCTGCTGATTCACTACCAGCCCAGGAGGGGGTTCCATATAGACTTCCTCATTCAAGTCTCCATGGAGGAATGCATTGTTCACATCTAGTTGAAATATATCCCACCCCTTCTTAACAGCTACTGTAATTAAAGCTCTAACAGTTGTCATTTTCACCACAGGGGAGAAGGTTTCTGTATAGTCAATCCCAGCCTGTTGAGTATAACCTTTTACCACTAATCTAGCTTTGAATCTTTCAACACTTCCATCAGCTCTATGTTTGATTTTATATACCCATCTACAACCTATTGCTTGCTTGCCAATTGGCAGAGGGACTAAATCCCAAGTGTGGTTAGCATGAAGTGCCTCAAATTCTAGTGTCATTGCTGCCTGCCAAGCAGGATTGAGGGCTGCCTCCTCATATGAAGAAGGCTCACTATCATGGCATACATTTTGTATCAAGAGCTGACTTTCAGAAGATAGGGAAGCAGGAGTAATGTGGTGATGATTGGAAAATAGGGCTTTTAGTGAAGAGGAAGAACTGGAAAACTGAGCAGAAGAATTACTATTGGGTAATTGGTAAACATAGTCTTGTAGATAAGTGGGGATTTGGTGACTTCTGCTTGATTTCCTAAGATGTGGTGTTTCTGTATAAGTGTGTGTATCATTAGAAGGTGAAAGTTGTAGATTGTTCTCATTGATGGAAGGAGGTTCAGTGATGGTAGGAGATGGTATATCATGAGTATCATGTTCTGTCTCTGGAGGTGTGATACCAACAGATCTTTGTCCTGAATCCATAGGTAGAGCTTGACTACTATCTTCAATATAATTAGGAAAAGAGACTCTTCTAAGGACAGCAGGAAAAGAAACATTTTCAGAACTTAGGGAAAAAGGAAAGATATTTTCATGAAAGATTACATCTCTAGAGATGTGAATTCTCTTGGTAACTAGGCTCAGTACCTTGTATCCTTTTGTTCCAAAGGGATAGCCTATAAAGATGTGAGGGGTGGTTCTTGGTTCAAGTTTGTCTCTATGTATTTTGGGTAAAGTGGGATAACATAAGCAACCAAAGCTTTTTAAATGGGAATAAAGAGGTTTCTTTTTGTATAACAGCTCAAAAGGGCACTTGTTATTGAGGTAGGTGGTGGGCAGCCTGTTTATCAAATAAGTTGCTGTTAGGATGCATTCTCCCCAATATTTGGTTGGGAGTTGGATTGAAACATGAGAGCCCTGGCAGTCTCAAGTAGGTATTTATGTTTTCTTTCTACCACACCATTTTGTTGTGGTGTGTAGGGACATGTTTTCTGATGTATGATCCCTTTAGATTGGTAGAATGAAAGGGCTTCATGGCTGGTGAATTCTAGGCCATTATCAGATCTGATGGCCTTTATGGAGGTGTTGAACTGATTTTCAATCATGGTTACAAAGGCTTTTAATGCTTGAAGGGCATTGCTTTTGCAGCTTAACAGGTGTGTCCAAGTGGATCTACTGAAGTCATCCACTAATGTAAGAAAATATTTGTAGTTATTATGGGTTGTGACATGGTAAGGTCCCCATATATCCATGTGAACTAATTCAAACAACCTGGAGGTAGTGCTGGTTCTTTGGGGAAAAGGTAGTCTGGTTTGCCTTGCCATGGGGCATATAGGGCATATAAAGGGTTGTCTGGGTGCAAATTTAACTGGGATGGAGGATATCCCCTTCATTTTAATAAAAGGAACATGGCCAAGCCTATTATGCCATAGAGAGTTTACATCACATTTATCAGACATAAAAGAAGACTCATTCTTAAGTGGAAGTATTTACATTTTGAGAAGTATGACATGAATGAATATGACCTACAGACTCATGACTACTAGGAAAATGAGAAACAGGAATGCACTTGCAATAAGAGGATGAAACAACAGAAGGTAAGACATTTCTTTTACCCTTCAAACACCTGGAACAGAGGTAATATAGACCTTCTTTGCTACTACCAATCACCTGAGGCCTCTTCACTGAAGGGGCCTGCATCAGACAAAGAGTATTACTAAAGAACACAATACATCTAAGGTGTACTGTAAGAGAATGAACAGAAATCAAGTTGTACTTGAAAGATGGGACATAAAGGACCCTATGCAGAACAATTTCTGAAGAAAGTATCACATCTCCAAATTCAAGAACCTTTACTCTATATCCATTTGGTAGGCTTATTAATAAAGGATAGGGTAATTTGGTGACATTACTAAGTGCATGCTTGTTAAAGGTCATATGATTGGATGCTCCTGAGTCTATAATCCAAAGATCAGCTTTTGATTCAAAACATTTGCATGAAGGTTTGTCAAAATCAATGGAGGAAGTACAGACAACAATACCTGCAAAGTTGGCACTGCCACTTGTGACATCCAAGTTGCTAGGGGAACCTCCTGCATGTCCTATTTGGAAGTGCTGCAGCAGATTCATTATCTGCCCATACTGCTCCTTTGTGAGGTTGAGATTCTGATTACCATCTTGTGGTTCTTGTTCATTCACATTCTCATGAATCATGTCAGCTGGGGTCTCATGCACATTAGCCACAGCCCCTTTCCCTTTGTTGAACCTGCAGCTCTGACTGTTTCCTTGATTATATGACTGAGGATTGGTGTTGTAGCGATTGGAATTTTGGTTATTATAAGAGTTCCCTTGAGGATATCCATGTAACTTGTAGCATTTTTCCTTTGTATGTCCTGGTCTTTTGCAATAATCACAGAATGGTCGACCTCTGTTGTTGTTATTAGGTGTATAGTGTGTTTTAAAATTTCTAGCCCCAAATGGATTTGGATTTTGTGAGTTTGCATTTACATGTAATGAAGTAGAATCCAGACTTAACTGACTAGTAGGCTTGAATTCCCTTTGTTTCTCCTCTTGAATCAGTAGTGAGAAAGCCTGTGCCATAGAGGGCAGTGGCTTCATCATGAGAATACTTCCTCGCACTATTGTGTAGACCTCGTTCAACCCCATTAGAAACTGGATAAGCCGTCGATCCTGTTCTGCTTTGTGCATGGATTCTTTTGCTCCACAAGTGCAATTGCAAGTGCACTGAGATTTGGCACTTAAGGTATTCAATTCTTCCCACAATTTCTTCATCCTTGTATAATATGTAGTGATGTCTAGGGAACCTTGCATTAGATCATTGATCTCTTTCTGAATCTGATACAATTTTGCCCCATTCGTCTGATCATATCGATCCTCTAATTCTCTCCAGAGTTCCACTGAGTCATTTACATACTCTACGCTATCAGATATTTCCTTGGCAAGGGAGTTGAGAATCCACGAGGTTACCATGTTATCGCACCTCTCCCATAATCGAAACTGAGGTGAATCAGAACTAGGTTTCCTAAGTTCTCCGGTAATGAACCCTAATTTATTTTTAACTGATAGGGCTCGCAAAGCGCTTCTTCTCCAGAAGCGATATCCAGTTCCATCGAATGGAGGTGGTACCAAAGCCATTCCGGGACTATCTGAAGGGTGAATGTAGAGGGGATTACCTGTATCGATGGCCAATTGATCATTCCTGCTCGATCCAGAAGTTGTATCTCCGGGTTGATCGACAGCCATATTCAAAACTTCGATCTAATGAATCTGATGGAGCTTGACTAGACTTGAGATTATCTGTAAGAGAAACGCCTCCAAAAACGAGTGACAATTGCCAAAGCCCTAAAATTGACGGTAGATTTGGGCGATAGCTACCAAACCCTAGAAATTTGACGGAATGAAACGAATGAAACTTCGATCGATATTTGAAAGATGTTGACGGAGTCTGAGCTAACGTCCTCGCTCTGATACCATATCAAAATTACATGTGAGAGCTTGAATGGATGAAGCTCCCATGGAGTTCTCTAGAATGTTCTGAAAGAACAGAGAAGAGAAGAAAGAGTGGAGAAGCAGAGATATTTCCAATGAATATTATTTCATCTATTAAGCTGAACAATACACGTATGTGTGTATGTATATACATTGACTATGACTAAAGCTAATACATTGACTATGACTAACTGTACATACACTAACTAACTAAACTATTGAATGCATTGCATTACATAAATCAATAATAATATACTCAATAACTTCCTCTGTTTCAACTTATGTGCATGATTTGATTGGTACAGAGTTTAAGAAAAAAAGTATAAGGCTTTTGAAATTTATAGCTATAAACATGTCATGAGATTTATGTGGCTATAAAAGAGTGTCAATAAGGGTAAAATAAAAAATTTAAAATTAAATTATTTTAGACTATAAAAATGCATGGGCCATTCTTTTTGGAACAAACTAATAAAAAATAATGCCACATAAAATGGAACAACGAGAGTATTCGTTTTTTCTATGAATTTAACTTCTACGTAATGGCAATGTGAATTAAGATTTATACTATTAGATAATATAAAGATAATTAAACGTAGACGTTCATAAATTATTTTTAAAAAAAGATTAGTAACACAAAAACAATAAGGTAGATACCTAATAAAATATGTTAAAGATATTGACAGTATACAATATTTATACATACAATATAAGTTTTTTTTTTTCAAATGACTACTAAAGTTATTTATACCGTTACTATTAGAGGTCGTTTGGTTGGAAAGAAGTTATCCCAGGATTAATTATCCCGGAATTAGTTATTCCACCCTTTCATGGGGATAAAAAATACTACAATCCCGGGATAACTAATCCCGGGATTAATTATACAACAATTTTCTACCAACCAAATATGGGATAAACTCTTCTTAAATTTAGTCCTGAGATTAATTATTCCTTATCCTTCATACCAAACGAGCCCTTAGTAGTGTATATAAGTTAAACATTTTTTTCCAAATGGCTACTTACTGGATTATTTGCAGCTACACCTCCATCAATCATATCAAATGTGCGTATTCTCCCTTGAGCATCCCTACTCTCAAAATAGTGTACCGGAAAAAAGGTTGGTGCTGCAGAAGTACTGAGGCTGATGTCTGATAATAAAACATTCTTAGACAAATTTGCTCTGGCCTATACACAAATTCAAATAACAATAACCCATAATGTTCTTAAGGGAGAAATTTAAAACATCATATACATTTGGTACGACGAAAATCATATTTAAGTAGAAAATGCTTTTCGAGAAAAAAATCCAAATGTTTGATTATGAAATCAAGAAAATAATTTGTATGAAAATTGACGTCTATCGTACCAAACACACTAAAATAATTTATTTAGATAACTAGAAACATACATCAATAGTGGTGAAGATAATTGGTTGAAGACGCTTGATATCAAAAGCAGGGATGACTGTATGAGTCAATGTCTGCTTCATAGTAAGGTTGCCTAATATTGATTCAACCAATAATCTTAAGTACTTCCCATCGTATTTTGGTCCTCCAAAAAAATTGAATATCCTATGCACGAAGCTGTTACGGCTGCATATTACATATTTACATAGTCAAAAAAAAAAAAAAAAAAAGTTGCTTGTTAGAAGTGTAATCATTATAATCAGAGACGAATTTAAAGTTTAGAGTGAACGAGGTCAAAATAGATATGCTATATTAAATATTTATATAAGTATTTAGTTTTTCTCATATGCATAAGTGACTCGAGATGAAGATAGTGTGTTCTATCGAACTCATGGAAAGATATGTAAACAATGATAATTAGAGTAGTTTACCGGCTTGCAGGAAAGATGTGAGGGCAGTGTTCCATGTAGAAGCTGGAAATATCTTTAGCTGCATATAAAGGGCGATTATCTCTGTTTGGAGCTGTGAGCATAGTAGTAATTAATCCACCTGTGCTTGTTCCTGCTACTACATCAAAATAGTCTATAATCCTTGCATTTGCTCCATCAAGCTCCTATATATTCCAAATAAATATGTTGACGACCATTAGACTACAAATAATTTGTAAGAAACTTAATTAAGACCATAGGAAAATTAAGATACAAAACAAAAATATAATCTTGGGTTATATAGTTAAAGGATTGTATTGTTTAGGAATTCAACCGTTAACCCCGGAGACCAACTTCCACAATCTTTAATTCAATGTCAGGAGAATTGATGAGGATGGGTCGTCAATGGTTATCGATACCCATTAATCACGTATTTAAGAAAGCAGAAAATGCTATAATTGTAGGATTGGCTGTTAGGACCGAAAAAACCAGGTGTCATGCGGAAGCTAGTAAAGCAAACCTTCAACGACGATAAATCACACAACAAAGAGAAATCTACCAAAAGAGACACAAACATTTTAACGTGGTTCGGTCAACTGACCTACGTCCACGGCGGAGATGAGCAATCCACTATATAAAAGAGAGTACAAAATATCGAGAGAACAACCTCACGAAGAGGCAAACACAAGTGACACACTAACACTTGTCCCGGAAAGTTCTCCCTCTAAACACGACTCTCAAACCCCATATGGCTACATTGTGGATGCTACTGAATGAGAAGGAAGGATCCACAATTTATAGAAGTCCAAACATTTTCCTACAAGAAAAAGGAATAGCTAAAAAAGGACTAGAAAAAGGAACATTCTTGAAGCCGAGATCGAGGTGAAAATTAAGTCAAGACCCGATTGAAACATTGTCTTTGATTGATGGAAAGTGATTGGCCGGAGGCCACCATGGACAGTTGTACAACAAAGAATGGCCCGTGCTTACAAGAAGAAAGTACGGCCCAAGAAATTTGAAGTCGGGCAACTCGTCCTAAGATATATTCTCCCGCACCATGAAGAAGCTAAGGAAAAATTTGCTCCAAAATGCAAAGGTCCATACATTGTAACAAGAGTATTGCCAAATGGAGCGTTGTATTTGGGAGACATCGAAGGAGTCCCCGAGACAACAGTCAAATCAGATACAGTCAGAAGGTACTATGTTAGACTCACTACTCGGTGTTAACATTCTTTGATTGGGATGACGAAGGCTTTCTTTCTCACTACCCAAATACCATCAACCCTTTTGCAAACCCTTTGAGCCGGTTCTCTCTCTTTGATTACCCTCTTTGGAACCTGGAAGTTATTATTAAATGATAAGGAAAAGTAAAAAAAAAAAAAAAAAAAAAAGAAGAGAAAAAGGAGAAAAAAGAGCAAAAGAAAACAAAAATGAAGAAAATAAATAAATAAATAAATAAAAAAAATCAAAAATAGCGTTTCTGAACTACGTTCGACTTGATTCCGAAAGGATACGTAGGCAGCCTCTCTCCGAGGTTCAGTCACACCAAAATAAAAATCCAAATTCCCCAAAATGTGAAACTGGGCAGATATTATAATGTTTCGGCAATGGTTTTGCCTGAAAGGTTCCAAAGTTGTAATTCAGTCCAAATTCTTTTTACCCAAATGGTCCTTCCGATCAATCAACGAGAATGTTCAAGAATTGGAGGATACTGTTACTTGGATCAGATGCAACCAAATAAGAGAAATAAAATGAGAGAGTCCTATTGGTGAAAACCCTCATTGGCACTGTAGGGCGATGGTGAGTAGAGAAAATAAAAATGAGAGAGTCTTAATAGTGAAAACTCGCGAAGGGCACTATAAGACGATGGCGAGAAGAGAAATGAGAGAGACCAGCTAGTGAAAACCCACAAAGGTCACTGTTGATCGAAAAGAGGATTCACACAACCATGGCATTAACACAATCATGAGCAAGGTTTCGTGGTTTCAAGTCAAAATTTGTGATGAGTTTTTAAGAATCAGACGATTTATACAGATCAGGCATCCAGTCCAAAAGGCATATCATGTTTATTGAAGTCTGCATGTACTCCCATATAAGTCCGTATTTCTGTTCCCTGAAAGGGACACCTCTTGTTCTAAACTCGTTCTCTATTGTATTGTTTGTTTGTTTTTTTCTTTGAATCCCTTTCGGTCTAACTTTGTTCCAAAAATAAGGCAAAGAAAAGATGGCAAGACTGATTTACAGGGTTCTCGTTTGAAGCGAGCTGATATATTCAAAAGGCGCCCAGCCTCGACAAATGCATCAAGTCGACCCCGACTGTCCATGATTGGCCGATGATTTGAAATGAAAAACTTTGAAAGAAGTCAAAAGTGAAATGCCCACAAAGGCAAAATAAAGTTGAAAAAGGTTAAGTACCGTCATGGCAAAGTTTGGAAAAGCTAAAGGTTCTCCAGAATCAGGAATGCAGTTGGTATTCTGGAAATAACTAGTTGCAGTTGAAGTCATTGAAGAAGATGAGCTGAGTCAAGGGACTGAAATAATCAAGGCCACAAACCGACTACCATTTTAAAACTAATGAATCTTTCTTTGTTCAGAACAATAACAGAACAATTTTATGAAATAATTCGTGGAATGACCAACACCACCAAGTGAAGTTCTCAAATCCATGATTTCCTTCCAATATGCATGTAATCATGTTATTTTAGTTTCATTATAGGGGATCAACACCCTATCTTCAACACAGGGCACTACACCCCCTGGATTTTTATTTTCTACATAGGGTACGACATCCCCTAGTAGCGTTTCAGAGTGCCACGAGCCTCATTTTATTGCCAACACAGGGTACTACATCCCCTGGTTGCATTTTTATTGTTGCAAACATAGGGTACGACATCCCCTAGTAGCGTTTCAGAGTGCCACGAGCCTCATTTTATTGCCAACACAGGGTACTACATCCCCTGGTTGCATTTTTATTTTTCTACCTAGGGTACGACATCCCCTAGTAGCATTTCAGAGTGCCACGAGCCTCATCTTATTTCCAACACAGGGTACTACATCCCCCGGTTGCCTTATTTTCTACATAGGGTACGACATCCCCTGGTTGCATTTCAGAGTGCCACGAGCCTCATCTTATTTCCAACACAGGGTACTACATCCCCTGGTTGCATTATTTTCTACATAGGGTACGACGTCCCCTAGTAGCATTTCAGAGTGCCACGAGCCTCATCTTATTTCCAACACAGGGTACTACATCCCCTGGTTGCACTTTTTGTTGCAAACATAGGGTACGATATCCCCTAGTTGCATTTTAGAGTTCCACGAGCCTCATCTTATTGCCGACATATGGTACTACATTCCTTGGTCGCATTACTTTCTACCTACATAGGGTACGACATCCCCTAGTAGAATCTCAGAGTGCCACGGGCCTCATCTTATCGTCAACACAGGGTACTGCACCCCCTGGTTGCCTCCTTCTTGTTAACACAGGGTATAACATTCCCTATTATTTTTTTAAAAAAAATGTCTTTTTCAATTCTTTATTCTGCAATAGCAATGATAGTTTAATGTGTTTTCAATAACTCACAAAAATTTCCTAGTGCAAACTGGGGCAGAAAATTTTTGTTCGTTTTGCTTGTTTGTGTTGGCTTGTAGGTTTTTCTACAAAGCATGGATTGGATGTGCAAAAAATAAGATTCCAGCTCTTGCCGGAGAAAATGGAATGTTCGATCTCAATATCAACAGCAACCAGCTTGCACATAATGTATGCAGAAACATAGGGTCTCACGATCCATCTTCCCATCATCTAATCAAGAAATAAGCATGCGAGAATATTTCATAGTCTGTTGCATCGAGAGCATCAAGTTTCAATCTAAAGTCAATTGGAGAAGCAAGTCAAGAATGAATACAAGACTCCAGATGGCATTTAAATAGGAATTTTGTAACTCTTAGATTTCAAGAGTATGTAATTTTCTTTTCATTTTGATGTAATAGTAGGAACCACGGATCAGAACCTTGACGGAACCTCAGTGGACTCTCCATCTAAGTATACTCCATCACTCTTCTTTCTACTTGAACTACACGTGACCTGATTCCCTTATAACCCGGGATATGTAGGCTGCCTAAAACTAAGGCTCGGTAACATCTTTTTCTTTTATCTTATTTTTCTTTTTAAATAATAGTGAGGCCAAAAATCAGTTACCTTGTTCATTTTCTTTGCCTGAAAACTCTTCATGTTTCCAAGCAAAGAGGGGCATGCTGTGAACACCTAATCTTTTACCACACCGCAAATCCTATACTACTTTAGTGTAAATATTTCTTTTAGGTCTAATCTTAATATTTTTAAATTTTTTATCTTACTTTTAATAGGTTTTATTTAAGAAAATTAAAAAAACTACAAAAAATATTCACATTCTTAGAATATAAGATTTATTTCAATGTTTAAATAGAAGAAATTCTTCTAATTTTAAATGTAAGTTATAGTAGTATTTTTCTTAGTATAATTTAAATTTTAGTGTAAATATTGAGTTTTCTTATTTATATAGTTTCTTTAAGTCTAAAAGTAAGTTGGTTGATATATATATATATATATATATATGTTGTTTTATATATATATGTATATGTATGTATATATGTTGTTTTTCCTTCTTTTATTTAATAAAAAAAAAGGGTCAAAAAAAGTTTTAAAAAATAAAAATAATAAACTAACGGAAGAATAAAAATAAGTAAATTAAGAGAGATACAAAATAGTATCTTTAATTACCCATGATCTCCTCAACCCTCTCCCCCACGATTTTCTTCTCCTACACTCATTACCCACGCCTCACGTCTCAATTTGTTTCTGAACCTCAATACCACGTTTTCATTTCAACTCCTTGGCACAAGACTTAATAACTACCATGGTTCTTCTTTATAAAAGGAAAAACAGAAGTCAAAACGGAGGGAGAAAAAAAAAAGAACGAAAGGGAGAAAAATTGAACAAAAAGAAAAAGGCATTTTTTCAGGGTGATATATATCAATCTTATTGTTAAAAAAATTAGAGTTCTTGAGTGGAGTTTTCTTTACTCGAGTTTGTTGATGTTTGTTGCTTCCGGC